CCGATCTGGAGATTGCCTTGCCACCCACTGCACGAGCTGTATGAGGCTATCCATCCTCTAAACCCACTACACTTCCCCAGCCAGAAGAATGTTACCGTGGAGGGTGAGATTACGTTCAATGGTATACCGTCCGACACGCTACGCACTCGTCTCCCCCAGATTGTTTCGTATGTGAGCCAACGAGACCAGAACCACCCGTCTCTCACAGTCAAGGAGACGCTCCAGTTCGCGCATGCCTGCTGTGGTGGCAGCCTCCCAACGCGTGACGAGCAACACTTCATTAACGGTACACCCGAGGAGAATAATGCCGCGCTCGACGCTGCTAGAGCCATGTTCAAACACTACCCGGACATCGTGATTCAGCAACTCGGTCTCGATATCTGCCAAAACACCATCGTGGGTGACGCCATGACTCGCGGTGTATCTAGAGGAGAGCGTAAGCGCGTTACCACGGGCGAGATGGAGTTTGGCAACAAGTACGTCATGATGATGGTCGAGATCAGCACGGGTCTCGACAGCGCCGCCACGTTCGACATTATCATGACGCAGCGTAGCTTCGCCAAGAAGTTCCGGAAGACGGTGGTGATCTCGTTGCTGCAGCCGTCACCCGAGGTCTTCGAACTGTTCGACGACGTGATGATCCTGAACGACGGTCATGTGATGTATCATGGCCCGCGCTCTGAGGCATTGGGGTACTTCGAGAGTCTTGGCTTCAAATGCCCTCCACGTCGCGATGTGGCCGACTTCCTGCTGGATTTGGGCACCGACAAGCAGTCGCAGTACGAGGTGATCTCGGTTCCGTCTGGTAATATGCCGCGCTTGGCTAGTGAGTACGCTGCTGTCTTCACGTGTTCTCGAATCTACGAGCTTATGATGAACAACCTTCATGGCTCAATCTCTACGAATATGCTCGAAGACAACGAAAAACACATAGCTGCTGTCCCCGAGTTCCAGCTTGATTTTCTAGAGAGTACGATCGTGATGCAACGGCAGCTTACTCTCACAAGACGGAACAGAGAGTTCATTGTCGGACGCTCCGTCATGGTAATCCTGATGGCGTTGCTGTACTCGAGTGTGCATTACCAGTTCGATGAAGTGAACGCACAGCTGGTCATGGGGTTCACCTTCAGTGTGGTCATGTTCGTGTCTCTGGGGCAGCAAGCTCAGATCCCGACCTTCATTGCAGCTCGTGACGTGTTCTACAAACAGTGCCGGGCTAATTTTTTTCGGACGTCGTCGTTCGTGCTGTCCAACTCGGTGAGCCAGATTCCGCTCGGTTTCGCTGAAAGTTTTCGCTTGTATACTGGATGGGTGGGTACGTGTCCACCGTGCAAGCCTTCGTGTTGTTCGAGGTGATGGTGCTCATGACCAACTTGGCGATGTCAGCATGGATCTTTTTCTTGTCGTGTGCGTCGCCCAATCTAAACGTCGCCAATCCCGTATCGATGGTATTCATTCTTTTCTTCGTCCTGTTCGCCGGTTTTATCATCACCAAGGATCAAATTCCTGATTACCTTGTCTTGAATCAAAGGATCAACCCAATGGCTTGGAGTGTTCGAGCGCTTGCCGTGAACCAGTACACCGACTCGAGCTTTGATACGTGTGTGTACAAAGGAGTTGACTACTGCACCAACTACAACATGACCATGGGTGAGTATTCCTTGACAACGTTCGAGGTACCGACTGAGAGGTTTTGGTTGTGGTGCGGCATGGTCTTCATGGCAGCAGCCTACGTGTTCTTTATTTTTCTATCGTGCGTCGCATTGGAGTATCACCGGTATGAAAGCCCCGAGAATGTGACGCTCGATCCGGTCAACAAGGATAGTTCATCGGAAGAATATGGTTCGATGAACACTCCACGCAGCTTGCTGAACGAAGCTGTGGTGTCGGTTGCTCCAGACAGGGAGAAACACTTTATTCCGGTCACTATCGCATTCAAGGACCTCTGGTACACCGTGCCCGATCCAGCCAACCCCAAGGACACTATTGACGTGCTCAAGGGTATTAGCGGATACGCTCTTCCAGGAACTATCACAGCGCTCATGGGTTCCTCAGGTGCTGGTAAAACTACTCCCATGGACGTCATCGCCGGACGCAAGACCGGCGGCAAGATCAGTGGTCAAATTCTGCTGAATGGCCACTCAGCCACAGACCTCGCTATCCGTCGATCCACAGGGTACTGCGAGCAGATGGACATCCATTCCGAGTCGGCTACCATCCGTGAGGCTCTAACGTTTAGCGCATTTCTGCGCCAGGGAGCCGATGTTCCAGACAGCAGCAAGCACGACTCAGTGAACGAGTGTCTCGACCTACTGGACCTGCATCCGATTGCCGACCAGATTATCCGCGTGGAGCAGATGAAACGATTGACAATTGGCGTGGAGATGGCGGCTCAACCGAGTGTACTCTTCTTGGATGAACCGACAAGTGGTCTGGACGCTCGATCATCCAAGCTCATTATGGACGGTGTCCGCAAGGTGGCGAACACGGGTCGTACAGTGTTGTGCACAATCCACCAGCCGTCCACGGAGGTGTTTAGTGTGTGCTGTTGTTGAAGCGTGGTGGCGAGACGGTATTTGTGGGTGAACTTGGTAAGAACGCGAATGAGATGGTTGCGTACTTCGAGTCAATTGACGGCGTGGCTAAGCTGGAGGACAACTACAATCCTGCGACGTGGATGCTGGAGGTTATTGGCGCCGGTGTTGGCAACAGCAACGCTGACAAGACGGACTTCGTGAAGATCTTTCAGTCGAGTAAGCATTTCCAGTTCTTGCAGTCGAACTTGGACCGCGAGGGCGTGACTCGTCCGTCGCTGGACTTACCTGAGCTGACCTATAGTGGCAAGCGTGCTGCGACGGAGATGACACAAACCAATTTCCTGTTGCAGCGTTTCTTCTGGATGTACTGGCGTACGGCGTCGTACAACTTGACACGGTTCAGCCTATTCCTCATTCTCGGGCCTTTATTCGGCGTCACGTATTTTAGTGCGGACTACAGCTCATACGCCTGCATCAACTCGGGTATGGGCATGCTATTCTGCACGATGGGCTTCATCGGGTTCGTCTCCTTCACGAGTGTTGTGCCGATCTCATCCGCCTACCGGTTGGCATTTTACCGTGAGCGCGCTGCTCAGACATACAATGCGCTCTGGTATTTCGTGGGTTCGACAGTGGTTGAGATCCCGTACGTCTTCTTCAGCACCATGTTCTTTATGATGCTATTCTTCCGGATTCACGGGAGCAACCACATTCTTCGCGTATTGGCTTCATCTCTCCATGCACGTGCTGTGACAGGCGTACTTTGGACAATTCATGTCGTACCTCATGCCGACCGTCGAAGTTGCAACAGTGTTTGGAGTGCTGATGCAGATGATCTTCTTCTTGTTCTGTGGGTTCAATCCTCCTGGAGATTCAATCCCTCAAGGGTACAAGTGGCTCTACTAGATTACACCACACAAGTACGCGCTGGCTTTGGTCGCATCTCTGGTGTTTGGAGACTGCCCTAGTGACGGGGACGGTTCAGAAGTTGGATGTCATGTCATGACTGGGTTGCCACCTTCGCTT